TCTTTCTTTCTTTCCCTCCTTTCATTCTTTCCTTTTCTTCTTTCCCTCCTTTCCATCTCTCTTTTTCTTTCTTTCCTCCTTTCCTTCTATTTCCTTCCTTCTTTCCTTCTCTTTCTTTCACTCTTTCCTTCCTTCGTTTCTTCTCTCTACTCCCTCTCTCTCCTTCCTTCCTTCTTTCCTCCTTCTGCGACCCAACTCTTCGCTTCCCCCCCCACACTGGCTGGGGAAGGGGAAGGAGAGGCTTTTGAAGATGCCTCCCCCCCTTTTGCTTCCCCTTCTGACATCACTTCCAGTGATGTCAGGGGGTGTTGCATATGCTAATGAGCTATTATGCTAATAGCCTAGTAGCTCATTAGCATACCATATGCTAATGAGCTCCTGCAGCTCTTTTCCTACAAAAAGACCCCTGTTTATTGCTATAAAGAAGCAGTGCTTTCTTGCCTAGAAACACAGTCAAAAATGTGGGGGGTCTTTCCTCTCTGAATTTATCTGAAGAAGAAATCTATGTTGAAACAGGAAAGATACTGGGATTCCTGTTATAATTATACATGCTATTTGGATTCCTCATTTATGTTAATATTACCTGTGACTGAATTCTTTATCTGTGTCCATCTGTGCTTACAATTATGAGATTTCTTTAGTCATTGTTAGTATGTAGGAATGTATATAAAATTGTTCTGTCTTATTACAGCGTGTGCTGTAGCGGCACTTTGTATTTTTGTCACCATTACACTGTTGTTCCTTTGTGCTTATTATTATCTTGCTTTGGAAGGAGTGATTTCCTGGTTCAGAGGTCAGTGTTAAATGATGGCACCTGCTGAAGAGGAAGTGATCACAGGGAGCAGGTGAGCAGCACAGTTCCTATATTGCCAAACCAGGTGAGGGCTTTGTCTGGTATCCTGGCAAATAGGGTTACCAAGTACCTACCGCGATTCGGCGGGGGACACATGATCCCCGGCCGGAACATTCCTCCCTGTAACACACCCACGCCGCGCCATGCCGTCGCCAGGAAGTGACGCTGGGCGACGCTCTGACAGTGGGACTGGAAACTCGATGGTATCATCGAGTTTCCAGCCCCATTGCCAGAGCGTCGCCCGGCGTCACTTCCTGGCGATGGCATGGTGTGGTGCATCTGCTTTCCATGCAGGAATGGTCCTGAGAAGAAGTATGTGTCCCCCGCCGATTCTCGGTAAGTACTTGGTAAGCCTACTGGTAAACGCTTTATTTACAAATGAGCTCAATGCCCATAAGTATAGGGGGAGGAGCCCATAAGTATAGGGGGAGGAGCAAGTGAAAAGGGGAGGGCCTTGTCCCACCAGGCTGAGCATAGGGTTGCCAACTCTTGGTAGGAAACTCTTAGAGATGTGTGTGGGGGTGTGGAGCCTAGGGAGGGATCTTTCAGTGTTCCCTCTAAGCTGAGTTAGTGTGAGCTAGCTCACGGTTTTTTAGCCTCCAGCTCACACATTTTTGCCTTAGCTCAGGAAGGAGGGCTCCAGAGCAAAATTATTCATGCAGTAGCCAAAGTGTGCGCTCACAACTTTAATGCCGGTAGCTCACAAAGTAGAATTTTTGCTCACAAGACTCCATATCTTAGAGGGAGCATTGATCTTAATAGGGGTGCCAGCCTCCAGGTGGGACCTGAGGATCCCCTGGAATTACTCCTCCTGTCCAGACTACAGAGATCAGTTCCCCTGGAGAAAATGGATGCTTTGGAGGGTGGCCTCTATGTGCAACACTCTACCCTGCCTCTGTGTAGCAACCCTGGACTTCCTTGTAGGTCTCCCATTCAAGTACTAACCTGGTCCAACCAATGTTCCCTTTAAGTTGTGGAGTCTTGTGAGCAAAAATTCTACTTTGTGAGCGCCTGGCATTAAAGTTGTGAGCAAGCGATTTGGCTGCTGCATAAATCAGTCTGCTCTGGAGCCATCCTTCCTGAGCTGAGATAAAAATGTGTGAGCTGGAGGCTAAAGAACTGTGAGCTAGCTCACACTAACTCAGCTTAGAGGGAACACTGGGTCCAACCCTGCTTAGCTTCTGAGATCAGGTGAGATTGAACCACCCTGGGTCATCTAGGTCAAGGTATTTCCATAGTAGCCTCTGGGGGGGGGGGGACACAAAAACGCATGTGTATAAATAAGATACGTACGTACTATTATGCAATTGCTCTCATGTGGCTTTAATGAATGCTATACAACTAAATGTACATTGTTTGCTTTTTAAACATCAGCTATGGGGAATATAATAGCAGTGTGGCTGTTGCATGCCGGTGCGGTTATTTTAAATGATAGAAAGGCTATGGTTATTATTTTAGTGAGATTAAAAAAAGGTGGCTACAGGCAAGGATGGGATTGCATTACCCTAAATACAACCCTTTAACACCTAACTTTAAAAGTTGTCACGAGGCTGGCTGCTGTCAGTCATCTTCAGGAATCCAGGAAGAAGATAATATCATGAATATGTCACATAGACATCCAGGTTGAGTATTGATCTGTCTGCTTGCTTTCCCACAAAGAGATCTTTGCTGGGATGTGGAAAGGAGATTATTTTGTAAGGAAATGGCAGCTGTGAACCACCCTTCAGGGTCCTGGGATGAACACATGAAGCTTGTACTGAATCGGACCATTGGTCCATCAAAGTCAGTATTGTCTACTCAGACTGGCAGTGGCTCTCCAGGGTCTCCGGCTGAGGTCCTACTACCTGCTCCTTTAACTGGACATGTCAGGGATTGAACCTGGGACCTACTACACATCAAGCAGATGCTTTATCACTGAGCCACAGCCCCTCCTTTCATGATTTCACAGCCATATCTGGTGGCTTGTTTAACGATACCTAAAGCTAAGTGTCAGTCCTGTGTGGATGGCATGCTCTATCTGCCATTCTAATACTAATCCATCAAGCCATATTAAATTGCTTGTGGAGCCTATCTGTAGTTAAAAATGCCTTTACAATCCTAGAGATATGAAAGATCCTTCATCTTCTTACTTGGTTCTACCAGTCTTCATATCTCCTGGGTAGTTTAATAAACTGATTCAAAATACCACCAGGGTCGTAAGAGGGCAGCTGTAGCTCTGGTCCAGAAAGTCCCTGGTTCAAATCTTAGTTTTGCAAAAATTCAGTAGGGGATCTTTGGCAAATCAGCCTGTCTCAAACCTTCATTTAACCCCCCCTCCTTTAGGTTAATACTGCCGGCCTACTTTGCAAGAGGAGGCAAGGTAGCATGGTATAGATGGATCCCGTCAGATCTTGGTAGCTAAGCAGGGTTGGTAATTGGAAGGGAGACCCCCCCCAAGGAAGACTCTGCAGAGGAAGACAACAGCAAACCGCCTCTGCTTCGCATTTGCCTTGGAAGCCCCTTGCTGGTTGTGACTTGACGGCAGTTATGCACGTACCTTGCAAGATGATTGTAACGTCTATAAGAAAATGTGTGTGCTTCGAACACTAAGAGTGGTATAGAAATGCAAGAACTGTAATTGTCTAAGGTTTAAACCCACTCAACTCCCCCCCCCCATTCCACAGTTTTATTGCATTTTTATAGCATGTCACATGACAGACAGCAATTTGGACTATAAATGGGGCAGATATATAACATTTGTACATCAGATAGAAACATCGAAATCTGAAGGGGGGAAGAGGATAGATAGATGACAGCCAATAAACTGGAGCTCGATCCAGACAAGACTGAGGTGCTTTTGTTCAGTGTCCCTGGAGGGGGTTTCACTCCCCCTGTAGGAGCAGGTTCATAGCTTGGGGGCGCTACTAGATCCTGGCCTACGGTTGAAGGCTCAGGTCTCCTCCATGGCCCGTAGCGCTTTCTATCAGCTCCAGCAGGTTTGCCAGCTATGGCCATGTCTCGAAAAGCATGATCTGTCCACAGCAATCCATGCTCTGGTCACATCTAAGTTCGATTATTGTCATGTGCTCTACACGAGGCTGCCTTTGAAAATGGTTCAGCAACTTCAATTGGGTTAAAATGTGGCCACGGGGCTATTGTCAGGGCTATGGTGACAGGGATTGTTTTTACCCCTGTGTGAAGAGGTCCGCACTGGCTACCCTTCTCTTTCTGGGCACAATTCAAAGTGCCGCTTCTTACCTGTAAGACCTTGACTGGCTTGTGGCCGGAGTACTTGAAGGACTGACTCTTCCCACAGTGTCCAGCCCCATCGGTTAAAATCTGCCTCTCAAGCCCTGCTGTCTGTGCACCCCCGCTTCAGAAGTGAGCCGTGCGGTGATTAGAGACAGGGCATTTTCAAGGGGGGGCACCTCACCTTTGGAGCTCCCCATGAGTCCCGCCTGTCTACTCTGCATCCCTTTAGGTGCCAGGCCCAAACACATTTTTTCTACCCAGGCTTTTAATAACGGGTTTAATAGTCTGCTCTGTTGCATGGATTGTCTACTGCTGATGTCTAATGGCTTACGTTTTATGCAGTGGCTTTTGATCGTAAGCTGCCTGAAGAGGCAGCATGGAAATAGGCTAGTAAAGGTAAAGGTTCCCTTGCTTGAAAGCCAGTCGAGTCCGACTCTAGGGCTGCGGTGCTCATCTCCGTTTCAAAGCTGAAGAGCCAGCGCTTTCCGAAGACGTCTCCGTGGTCATGTGGCCGGCATGACTAAACACCAAGGCGCACGAAACGCTGTTACCTTCCCACCGAAGTGGTACCTATTTATCTACTTGCAATTTCTTGCTTTCGAACTGCTAGGTTGGCAGGAGCTGGAACTAGAGATGGGAGCTCACTCCGTCATGCGGCACACTCGGATCTTGAACTGCTGAACTACCAACCTTCCACAGCCAGCAGTTCAGCATCTTAACTACTTGAGCCACCGCAGCTCCTAGAAATAGGCTACATACATGTATAAATAAACAACATGGAATCTGTGCTGGGTGGATATCTCTGTACATCCCCTCCCCCCTTTGACCATTGATAACAAAATTTCTCCTGACTTGAAAGCCATCCACGGGTGTGATACAGGAAATGCTTGGTGTGGATTAAAAGCTAAGGGAAACCCAGGCCAGGTGGAGACACCAAGCTCAGCCACAGTTGAGCCCAATTACTAAGCGATGGGACAGGCCCTCCTTCATGACATCGCCCCCTGCTGGTGATCTGGGCCATTGGTTGGTTGGTGAGCTCTGTTGGTTTGAGAGAGGGGTCAGAGACGGTGGTGTTTGTTGTGGAGTATTTTTGATTGTTTTTAGTTTGTTGTTTTTTGCTGTTTGCTTTATTTGGTTTGATTTGTATATTAGATAAAAGTGATAGGTTTCTTTTGTTTTGAAATTTTCCTGAGAGTTTTGTTTGCTTGTTTTATTCTGTACTAGCCTGATACCTGTGCTTCACTACGGTATTTAAGTTTCGTAAATCCAGTTATAATACTGATGATGTGAAGCAATGTTCCCTCTAAGCTGTGGAGTCCTGTGAACAAAAATTCTACTTTGTGAGCTGCTGGCATTAAAGTTGTGAGCGAGCGATTTGGCCACTGCATATATTAATTTGCTCTGGAGCCATCCTTCCTGAACGGAGACAAAAATGTGTGAGCTGGAGGCTAAAAAACTGTGAGCTAGCTCACACTAACTCAGCTTAGAGGGAACACTGAAGTCTGAAATGTAACATTTGTTGTAGGAATTCTAATGGAGAAGATTGTAGTGTAAAAAATGAAGTGAGACATACGTACTCCCCCCCCCCCTCTACTGAAGGACTTCTCTGTAGACCACATTGGTGGTTCTGCCCTCAGGTGCTAGGATCACCAGGCTGCTTGGTGAGTTCACTCTGGAGCAGGCCACATAGAACTGTCCATTTAAGAAGCAGTCGTCTGTTAAGTCAACTCCTGCCACCTTCCACGAAAATGATGGCCTTTCTACTTGTGTTCCTGGATTGTTTTGCTTATATGGAGACAGTGTTGTTCTGAGCACATCAGGGTGATCTCACTGGTACTTGCCCTGCGCAGCTCAGTGCCCCGCAGGAGTACTATGTGCAAATGTCTTTGCTGCATTCCTAAGTTGCCTCCTCCTTGTAGCGTTGGTGTATCTGGTTCGATGTTTGCCAGGAGCTTTCTTGGGGGCAGTAAGAGGTGAGAGGTTGAGGGGGAGTTGGTGTGAGGGAGTAGTGATGTGGTGGACATTTCTTCAGGTTTATGTGGGAGGCACGCATCAAAATGTCTCCTAGAAAGGTCCTTTACTATCTCCCCATGAACATTCATTAACATTAATTAAATCAATTGCCATGCTGGCTTTTTTGAAAAATGTCTATTCGGGAGTCTTGAATTGCTGATTTCTGTAACTGTCTGCAGTCTCTTCTAACAATTGGGGGAATACATTTTGCCCCTTTTTTACCCCCTTAGGGTAAACCCCCCCCTTTTTACAAAAATGCTTCTCATTTATGTTACATTTAAAAAGTGGGACATAACTACATATTCAAAACACCACCTGAGCAATCAGATATTAAGCAAATTCATATGAACCAATTTTCCAGAAGTTAAATAACCTAATAAAGGAAACCAGTTGTCTACAAAATTGGGGTATATTTCCATTGTGGGTGGGAGTGTGGCTAAGCTGGGCCAGCAGCACTGCTAAGGTGATCCTGCTGGGGTGGCATCCCTGATGGATTAAAGTACCCTGGTCCTGCTCCTACACCTGACAGACATCCGCCTGTCTGGTGTTGGGGGATTATGTTTAAAGGCATCAGGGAGGCTGGGCCAGCAGCAGGGCTAAGGCAATCCTGCTGAGCAAACCTCCCCGGCAGCTGTAAGCATCTCACCTCCTCTCTTACACCTGACAGGCAGCTGCCTGTCCAGTGTAGGAGGGGGAGGGGGGAGGAGTATTAGAAGCCACTGTGGAGGCGGGGCTGGCAGGATCCCTAAGGGGTTACTGCTGGGGGGGGCTCCCTCCTGGCTTTAAGCAACCTGCAACCGCTGCTGCACCTGACAGACAACTGCCTGTTAGGTGTAGGAAGTGGGGGTAGTATGTTGGAAGCCATCAGAGAGGCTGGGCCAGCAGCATTACTGCACCTCACTGGTGGTTGTTGGTCATTCCAGATTTCCCCAACTGTCATTAGCTCTCTGCAGTTTCCTGTAACTGTTGAGGTTTTTTTTACCTCAGAACACTGAGCTCTGCAACTGATTAATCAGAGAGTGGGGGGTGCAAGGAAGCAGCAGCCTGGCAGCCACATAGGAATCAATGGGGGGAGTACATTTTACCCCTTTTGACCCCCTTAGGGGTCGAATTTCTAAAAATCCCTTCTTAGTGAGCATCTACATCATGGTAGGAGTGCTCTCCCCAAATTTGGTGTTTCTAGGTCCAGCGGTTTGGTCTGGGCGTTGATTTTATGGTGAGGGGACTTTCTTTTATATATATAGATATGGTTTTTTGCATTTTAAAAGTTGTAATAGTTTTTATTATTTGTTTTTAGTGTTTTATTCATTTACTTTGTACATAGGGTTTTTTGGATTTCCAAAGTTTAAATCGTAGATATAGGTGTTTGTTTTTAGTGTTTTAATCTTTCATTTTGTATATAGTATTTTTTGCATTTTAAAAGATTCATAGGAGATAGAGGTGTTTATATTTTGCTTGTTTTTCTCTTAGGTTCTAGGGTTTGTTTGTTTTGTTGTTGTTTGATTCTTTAGGAGTAGGTTTGTCAGATAGTGTAAGGAATATGGAAATGCTCGCCAAACACTGAAAAATGTATGTGGGGTCTCTGCATTTTGCTCCCATCTTTATTTTGGTCCACCCTCCTACCCCACCTCCCAAGTCAGGGGAACACAATCCAAAAAGTGATGCTCAGGAGATCTGTTCCAATTCTCCAAGCAGTACAGCTGGCCTTTGTGTGATGGAAGGGGCATCTCTTTTCTTATCACACCACAGTCTCCCTAGATAGAGAAGGAGCCTCCAAACCTGGTGTCCAAGCCCTGGATGCTGCTTTGAGCCTGAGGAGAGGTGGTTTCCTTGTTACCCTGAGGTGTCCTCAAGTAACCTTTCCATCTGGACACTTTCCAACTGGTTGTGCAACCTTTCTGTCAGGATCACCCTTCCAACCACCCGGAGGACACCGAGGAACGAGAAGTGGAAGAGCCCTTCTGCACGCCAGGGATACAGACGAGGATCAACAAGGTCGGCAGAGCCAGAGACCACGACAGACAACCGCGACCACCGGTCAGAAAGGAGCAGTCCGAGGCTACAGGCGTCTCCAAGGACCCAACAGGATGGAAGCAGCTGTCTATGAGGGGCAAAGAGGGAGTGTGTACCTTTAAGCGGGAGGGAGAAGGGGTATCTGAGAATAAAGGTTTCACCTGGAAAATGCCGGGGAGGATGGAATTCAGCGGAGACTGAAAAGGGACAGCTGTGCATACAACACTGACCCGAAGTCTCCCTGAATAAAAAGGAAACAGCTTCTCAGTTAGGGAGGCACCTTTTCGTCTGAGGCAACTTCCAAAAACCCTTTTCTCGACGTCGCTCGCTGCCGCTTAAAGACAACTGCTGTGACGCCAGACCTGCAGATTACACTTTCTTGTAAAGTTTTGCTTCAGCAGGCGGCCCCTGGCCGTCTGAAATCTGTACTGTTTTGTACTGGTTTTGGTTACCAAAAAGAATGTGATGCTCCTGGAAATTGGTGCGCATAATGGCTGTGTAACGATTTCATGTTTATTTGTGTGTGTGTCTTTAAAAGTTTGGTTTACATTGCTGTGTGAAAGTCTAGTGTGGTTGAAACAGGCAAGTGGTGTGATTGGTGAGTGACAGAGAGGGGGAGGGATGGTGTGTGGATGATTTGAATGTCTATCAGGAGTGACTGTTGGAGATTGTCAGTTGATGAGAACAAAGAAAAACAGTAGTCAGCAGAGAGTGCTGTGTAAAAGCAGTTGATATGAGTTTTGTTCTGAGGTCTCTGAGAGAGAAGCATTCCTGTGTGGGATGAATTTGTTCTGTGTGATATCTGAGAGAGAGAGCAGCATATATCTTCAATAAGGAATCTTTAAAGTTCTGAAAGCAGTTAAATTTACAAAGAGATTAAACTGTGTGGTTGCCTAAGTAAGAGATTCCTGTCAGCACTAAAACTGACAGTGTGTGTGATACAGTTGACAAATATAGTTACAAGAACCTTATTCCCAGCCAGTTACATAATATCCAACCTTTAGTTTTGTTCCTCTTCAAATAAATCCTTTTTATTTAAGTTTATCCCAGAAGCCTGATCCATTATTCCTCAGGAAACACATAGTTCCTCGAAAGGCAAGACCCTGGGTCACAATACCAAAACCAGAAACAGAAAGTATAAAGGTTTGGAAAGCCTAAAATTTTCCTGGTGGCAGCCAGATACCCATAGGAAAATAAAACATAAGAACACGTTTAAAGTAAAACCAGACCTCCCCAGAGAAGAGGTTATCACAGGCTGCGTTATGAGAGGGAGCCTGAGGGTTCGACTCTCACAACAGTCAAAAACCCCTCTGGAGGAAGCTGCCCTCAACCGTTCTCCTTCAGGAATGTGCAGGGGGGGTAGGGCTGCCAAGTGGGGGCGGGTGGCGGGTAAACCCCTGCTT